TGCTGCTGTTGAGAATTTCCGAGATGCATTGGACTATAGACCACCCTCCTTGTCATTCCCTCGTGACGCATGATATACAAGGGAGAAGCATAATCAGAACACGCAGCATCAAAACAAACAATGCGCCTCAATCACGCTCCACAATAGGGACTAAATACCACCATCATCTCTCAAACACCCAACAGCCTCGCAACCTCCTCAAACCCGCCCTCCCCCTCCTTAACCCAAATATCAACCCACCCCTTGGCATCCTCGTACCTCTCGCTCCCAACCTCCCAATCCTCCTCCTCCGGCCTCTCAACATAAACAGTCCTCATCCCCCGTCCCCGAGCAGCCATCAAATCCCCCAAATGCGCCGCCACCATCGCAACCTCCCTCGCCTTGCCGCCACCACTACCGCCGCCGACCAAAGCCTCCACCGCGCCATCATAAACCGCCGCATGAGGCTTATACGCCCTGAAATCCTCCGCCGACAAAATCTTCCTGAACCCGAGCCCGCCGAACGCATCCAGATCGCCCAACAGCGTCCTGTTGCCGTTGCTCAGCGTCGAGGTGACGTATTTCCCGCCCAACCTGCGCAACCCTTCCACGGAATCCGCCCATGACCGGAGACGGTGCCACACGAGACTCAGCTCGCGGATTTCTTCGGGGCAGTACACGCCCTCTAACCCCCACGTCCCTAAAAGCTCGACGAGGCTGTCGTGGTGGTGCGCGTCAATGTCTTTCCAGGGGGTTTGTCCGGGGACATAGCCGCGCACGAAGCGCATGTAGGAGGTTCGCCATTCCTGGGCAAAGGTTGGCCAGTTTGTTGTTGCGAGCTTTTCTAGCTTTTTTTTTGTGTCCTTGTCATCGTTGGTGGATGTGGATGTGGAAGAGGAAGAGGCCAGCTTGGCTTTTGCGCGGGAGGTGAGTTCGTCCACCACCGAGGACCGCCAATCCACGACTGTGCCAAAGACGTCAAAGGTAAGCGCCTTGAGGTCGCGGAGGTTCTCGGCCTTGATATTGGGGAGGTCGCCTGCAATGCCGGACATGTTTCCTTTTTGTCGAGCTAGCTATTGGAAACTGTGATGTTTTCGATTTCGCTGTTCTCTTTACTTTGATAGAGTCTCTGGCTGGAAAACCTGGAAAAAATGCTTCAAATGACCAAGCTTGTAGTATATGAATCCGAGCAAATCCTGGAAAGGGAAAGTGTTGTAATATACAGGGCGTAGAGGGGGAAGTCATCACCTATCAATGTTGGAGGCGGGGTCGGATTGCTGACTGATCCATCCCGAACCCCGCCTGTTCTCTCGGACCCGGGAGGGGCCGCGGCAAGACAACGTTCCGCTCGGGCAGCCCGGACGGCGTGGAACGCCAGACAAACGTGAGAAACATGTCTTTAAGGAACTTTGTGATACCCTTATACCATCTGTTGAGTAATCTGAGATGCACTGAAGAAATTAGAAGTCTACCCTTTTTCGATCATCAACAGTGATCAAAACCGGACGCGGAAATGACCTCATCAGGAGTATCAAACACGGTCTAAATCCAGCTCTCATGAACAAGACTACGAGCTTTAGATATAAGGAGCGAAATAAAATGATCTAAGATATGTCTGTAATTCTCTTAAGAATGGAACGCGGTACCATGTTGATGCAATGCGGCTCCGTGAAGTGCGTCACACTTAACATCTATCGAGAGCCCGCCCGCCACGCATCTATTTCGAACATATATGGTCGCTGAGCCTCCGCGACAAACAAGCACAAGAGTAGAAGTAACCATGACAAGAAGCGACACGATCTCTATCAACCTCACAGCCATGTTCTCTGCTAGACACGGAGCAGTCGGAAGCATAACAGCTCGACGACGAAGCTGCACTTAATTCCGGATATCTCACTCTGCACACCAAGAAGAAAACACAACCTCCTTGGGGAAGAAGCCATCACCACCAACATGACGCCTTTGAAGAACCGCATGAACATCCTGGATTCACAAAGACATCCACAAAATTCAACCGCGGGCGGATCGAGAACAATCTCAATTATCCCGGCAGCCCCAATCTCGGGTTCGCTCAAAACCCTGCCTACCCAAACGCCCTATCCCCTGTTCATCATGTTAGACGAAACATAACGGCTTGCATCGCCTCCACTTCGTTTCTTTCGAAGGCCTTGTTTCATACCCGCGATGACGTCCGAAACAAGTGGAGAGTGTGGCTCAGTTCCTTCCGGGATGGGAAACATGGGAGCGAGTGTGTGTTAAACGACAGCCTCATCTCCAAGAGCCTGGTCCTCGGCTGTGCGCCTTGTTGACCTGGGTCTGTTGTGAAGTCGTTTTCGTCTCCTCAAATACGGATACCTGGTACTCAGAGACCATGCGGAGCACAAAGAAAAAGGGGGAACACGAGTAAGTAAGGAGATTGTGTTACACCCAGCGACTGAGCGACAGTGAGAGATGGCGGCTGAGACGGGCGGTATCCTTGTGAACTCCAACTCGACGGATCTAGACGAAGTTCATGTTCGACAACTGATGACCGAGACGCCCAATATGTGCCCAACTTGGTTTGCGAGGAATCCACGCGCCTTCACTGGATATCCTGATGTTAGATTAGCCAGGGAAGTAGCAAAGATCTCGCCATGGTCAAACTACACAGTCTTCATTCACCCGAGGGTAATGTCCAGGCCGCGTCTTCGAGTCAGTCTCGTGGCGTGTAAGCCAGAGCATCAGTCTGAGACCAAGCCAGCTTGGCAGGCATGTAATTCATCTTCGCGGTCTTCTTTATTAAGCTCATGTACAGAACTGCAACTTCTTGCTTTGTGCCATTATCGTGTTGGATGGAGATGGACGAGAACAAATAACCGCTAAGACCTCGGCTCGTCCTTCACGTGGCAACGCGGAACGCGGACTCAACCCCTCTGACCGCGCAGCCGTGTTTGAGTCAGTAGGACGGATAGAGCCTGAGACCGAACGCTTTTCTTGAGCATCAAGCACCGGCGCAAGACTTTGCATCCCGGTGACCATATTTGATCCATGGTCTTCGGAAATTCGGGCATCACCGCCCCGTCCTTCGAAAACCAGGCTTTTGGAGGACTCCCGCTGCTGTTCTGGCTTCCCATTGCCGCGATTAGCTCACCTAAACAGTAGACTCCAAGTGCTGGCCATGGTTCGTCATCTTGTATGCTGTTCCACCCTCGTCCTCGCTCGCTTACAGCCAACCGATATTCGCTGATGTTTCGAAGGACGCCCTAGTCATCAAGTGGTTTAACGACACTGAGGATTGGGCACCCGCACTTGTAGTGTATCTCATATGGTCAAGACACCACACCTTCATTCATCTCGGTGTGCCTCGCCGATGATGGAGCCCGTCGAGGTATGTTGTCTGGCACACCGTCGTAATATTGCAGTGCAACACGCCGACCTCGCCGGCCCCGGATATTTGCCGCCAGGCGGGGTCCCCAAGGACCAGGGCCAGTGACGGAATGAGTTGCCAAACGCGCGCACTGACAGCGTTCGTGGCTGCTGAGTGCTCAGATAAAAGACCAAGGGGAAATCTTGGTTGTGGCAGAACACGTCTGCCATCCCGCAGATGCACGCGGCGTTTGGATCCCCATGCTTTTGGTTTGAGTGAGCTAAATATCTAGCACTAATAGTTAGCCCGGACGGATAACCAAAAGACGATGTGTTGCGGATTGCGTTGCCCACGTGGCAGAGTCGTCCCAAATAGTAGAATCAATGTCAGAAATTCCCGGCCAAATGATGTTTTGGCAGAAGAAAATGAGATGGATCACTGATGGGGACGAACATGGTGGGCCAAGAGATGAGGCTGCTTTGGGAAGCTACGGGAAATGAACTCTCCATCTTTTGCGCAAAGTTTTTGACTGCCTCGTATGACGCGGGTGCGAGATGATACTACTGTGTACAGTGATGGGGCGAGAGCGAATATGTTTCGCTGACGCAACCTCTTGTGCCTCCTAGCGTTTCCCAAGCCTATCTGAATAAACGGCGGCATCTTCTTTTTCGTGGCGGCAGTGAATTCTCGACTCCCATTTGTGGGGGATCTAGATTTTGCCAACTTGTGAGTCTGGAACTCTGAATTGAGTTTTGCGCCGTGTTCGACGGTCGCCTAAAGTACAACCTTGCAATTATACCGATCCTGTTTTCTCCCCTCATGATTTTGCGCTCTACAAAAGACCTGGTCTGCTGTTGCATAGAGACGCATGTCATTCGTGTGCGGAAGATTAAATCCCCTGCAGCTGCATTGAGAAATGCTCGCGTTAAGCAATTGTGCGTTCGCTGGGGCTTGTCACAAACGGCTGTGATAGAGCTGCATATGCTCCGCTTTACTTTGAGAACGGGGGCCAGACGTTACTGAAGTCGGTATGGCTTAACCCGACGGCAAAGAGAGTTCAACGTGGCGTCGTTGACGGTATGCTATCTCACGTCCTCCCGGCTGATGAGGCTGCGGAAATGGTCGGTGTCCTGTTCACTCATTCTTGTACTTGTGACTCAGAAAGAATTAACTTTCTTCGATAACAAGGTACTCAGGTGTCCTGTTCAAAAGCCTCTGCCATTTTCTCCCAAATATCAGGAGTGCGGGTGGCGTTTAGTCGTTGCAAAAAGATCGATGGTGGCAGTGGCTAGGAGACGGGCCGGACACTAGCACCAAGACAAATTGCTCTTCGGCCATGGTTTGTTGACTAACAACCGGCAGTTTGGTCCATTTCGTAGCGAGTCTTGTGGCTTTGTGCCCAATACCTTCAAAGTCAAATGGTTCGTTGCAGCCTTAGAAGCTTGGTGTCATTAAGTCACGAACCGTCGTTTCTCAAGGAGACATCGCGTTCGTCCCACCGGGCAGCGCCGTAGATCCTGCGTGTTGGTTTGTGGCCATGGGTATGGAAAGCTACGACGTACAGTATATTGCAGCGAGCAGCGAGACCGGGGAAGACATCCGGATGAAGAGAATGCGTGATAACTTGAAGCTGCGTGTTTGCTCTACGAACACGCCGCACATGGAGTTGAGAGGATCATCCCCACTCTCCGCAATGTTTGCTGTCGTTAGAGGTGCTCGCGCCATTTGCAGAATGCTTGTTCCCTGTGCCTGGTTTTTGGAGAAGCAGAGCCCTGGATTGAGTTGGGACTTGAGAGTTGGGCGCCCCGGGAGGGCATTCCAAAACATCCGAGCTGACACCAAGCCAACCGAATTGGCCGACTGACCTATTAGCGCAAGCCTCTCGTAGAGTCGAACAAGATATTGCTTTTTCGGAACCCTGCTCGTCTGTTGGTGCAATGAGGATCAGAGGATTGGTGTCTCCTTGGCGAACGGCAGCGGCGGAACCAGAACATCGCGGGATCGGACGAAGGTCCGATGCTGACGAGAAGGCGGCCATCAACTGGAGACCGGGGACCTTGACGGTTCGTGAGGGGAAAGCCTTGCTATCCGGATATCCTCCATGATAAGAGCCCCTACAGGTTATAGACGCCGATTCCGAATCTGCTTAGTGTATAGAATTTGAGCGGGATCGTACCTGAGATTGTTGGGAGGGGGCGCGAACCGATGCGTCGGCGCCGGAGGCTTACAAGCCTGCCGAGTGGTGTACTTGCAGGGCTGTATAGGCTGGGGATGCAATCTGGTTTGCACGGTCTTGGTCTCCTTGTTGGGAAAGGGGGTCATCAAAGCCGTGAGGCACGTCGTGAGTGACCCAGAAATGAATTCGGATATCGAGCCGCATTCCGCACTTTTGGGACGTCCGGGAGCTGCGCATGGCGCCAAAATTTTTGCGACTGACCCTTGGAGTTTAATGTGTCGCTTGTGGAATCGAAGACGAGAAGTCGACGCCAATGGATGTGCAGACGTATGATCAATACTCTGTAGCTGCAGCGGATAAGCTAGAAGATGAAGGCCGACAACCTCATCGAGAATGAATGTGAGGGGGGTTTTCAGTCTTGCGAACAAGCAATGATATCCGTATTCCGCGGTGCTATCAGGAGGCTTATGCTAAGTCGGAGGAGCTACCACGAAAGAGCCCAATGACCGAAGTCGAGAACGTCTCTGCTCGCGGGGTGAAGGGGTGACACCCGTCTTGATGGTTATTGATAGTGTAAAAGCGAGCAAGGCCGTTTTCCTGGTACTGCGAAGCCTTGGGCTGCAGAGCGGGCCAGCGGCACAGCCTGCAACGTGCGAGTGCGACTACAGATTGTAATGCGGGCCTAGATTCAACGTCCAACAGCCTCCGCCATGATTCCATGCCTGTGACTGTGCCTTTGACTTGCATCTAATGCCTGCCGCATAACGATTCCTCTCTCGTCATGGCGTAGACTGTCCGATAGACCTCGTGTAAAAATTGCCTCGTTGTAGGCCCGCAGCTCCTTCCTAGTTGATCGGCGTGCCCGTGACAGTCGTGGCATGTTGAACGGAGCGTGGCAAACGTTACCGGTAGTCTGTGGTGTGCGAGGTTGATGTACTCCGTAGTTCTGATACTGGGTCTTGAACCAAGCCTCGGCGCCTTCGGGTCAAGAGAAGCAAATCGAAAGGAACCCAGTGTGCTTGAGTTCAGACAGCGATTGAATCGATTGGCTTGATTCATCTTGCCGTGGCATCGATACGGATACAATGAAAGCTCTGACCTCTCTGCAAGGTACGGCTTACGGGAACCGGCAGTTCGAGGAGGTGAGGGAGCCGAAGGTTAGTGATTGGGGGCCCTTGATCAGTGATGGATGTTCACCTTTCAAGATGCTGCTTTTGAGCAAAGCAGGGGCCTCTTGTGCACAGTCCTTTTGAAGGATTGACAATCGGCACATCTTTGTGGGCTACAGCCTCCGCCAGAGATTGACAGGCCCGAGGGCCCTGCTGTCAAGCGATTCAGTCTAGGGCCCCTGACGTTGTGATTCTTGGGACGAATGACCGGGAGTAAATGAGGTAGCGGGGAACGACAACATTGTCAATGTATCGAGAAAAGAAAGGAGACGATGCGACCTCGAGACATTTTGACACGAGAGGCCGCCTCGTGCCATTGTTTTATGGCGAATCAAGGGCGTAAACGGTATTGCGCAGGGCGAGACATGTGTGAGTCGCTATAGCTTGGACTGTTAGCGGTTGTCGAAGAGGTTTCTCAGCTTATGCAAGGTTGCACATGTCGAGTGCAAGTGGGATGTGACAAGTCTCGAGAGGCTGAAGAGGAAATTTGGCTGACCTCGAGCTGGTTTACTCGAGACTTGCACGACGCCAGCCGGTATTGCGCCGGGATCAACAAGAGGCGCTGCGGAGGCAGTGACGGCCGGGGGAGAGGACAGAGGTCTGACACGAGGACAGGCCGCAAGCCGGAAAAGAGATGACGGGAGGAGAAGCTACGATACGATAACGGCGAGTGACGGCGGGTGATGAGAAGTGCGATCTGCGCAGGCAGGAAATTGCGGGCTTCATGTTGGAAAGGTTCCCATTCGACGGTGATGTTGTTGGAGGCTTGGAGCTGGGAAGGATTCAAGGTGAAGAGGAGCCTTGGGAGAGACGGGTTGGTGGGAGAGGAGACCAAGAGTTCAGGACTCTTGGCGAGTACGTACCTTGTGACTTCTCCTGGGAGTGACCCCTGGGCCCTGGAAAGAGCTCCCATATCTAGCGTTCTTTCCTGCCCAAATGGCTTACTGCAAAAGCTGTCCCCACTCGTGGCTCCCCAAAGGGCGTTAGCGGGTATTCCGGTAGGTCCCAACTGAGGAAAGTGAAGGAATCCCCGGTTGTGCCTTCCCGGATGTCTTTGAATCCTTCCTGTTGGAGCGCAGGAAAGCGCCAGACTTGCCAGGGCCCCAAGTTCCAAACTTCCAGCCGATGGAGCAGCTTTTGAGATTGAGAAGCGCCAAAAAAAACAACAACATACTATCCCGGCCAGGCCTGATGGGATTGCCTGCCTCGAGATCGCGACCACCGATTCGCAATCTAGGTTCATCCCCTCTGGCGTCGTTTCATCCGGGTGATTTGTTTCTCATCACTCACGTATCTCTACTTTGTTACCTAGCTTACGTTGCGGATCGTGGAAACCTCCGTCGAGTTCGCGATGGGTTCCTGGTCTCTCACTGTAAATTGTGGAGAGCTGGACTTGGCACAGTAGAGTACGCCGTACATAAGAGCTACCTTACTCGACGGGAGATGGTGATGGCGGTACGTATCTTTCCTTCATCTGCCTCTTTCCGCTTTGCAGCGTGCAATTGGCAAATGAGACGAGGCAGAGCATGATCAAGTGCTGATTTTCTCGGTCGACATGAGAAGAAAAAGAAAGCAAGACAATAAACAACCATGCCACGTGTCGGAAGTGTCGAGAAACGGTCGCCGGTTCCTCTTCCCGTAGTCCGGACCTTGTACTCTATGTGACTCCTGCTTCATTGCTGCCCAGCGAGCGCAAATCTCTCCAAGTACAGCGTGTGGCTTCCCACCAATTGACCCAATCGGCAGAAGTGGCCCAATCATGGACGGTGTCGATGATGTTTGTCGAGGACCCTTTCCAGGCTGGTTTCTTCTTATCCCCAATGATCGTCTTTACATGACTCTGGCCGGTACACAGTACTCAGTCTCGACTACTCTAGCGCGTGTGCATGAGCAAAAAAAGGCAGCGAGTGCGAAGTGTTCGGTACCTTGCGTGCTTGCCTCGAGAATTCTCCGTCTTCTGTAGCGGGCAGACGCAAGTGGTGGGCAGCTAGCGCCGTCCAACGCCGTTGCGAGTTTTTCTCTCGCTGCAATCTCCTTTCTTCTGCCAACTCCTTTCTTTGGGTTCGAGACCGGTGGCTTGCTGAATCGCCTTCAAAGAAAATGTCGAACTCTCGTGGTGTTTTCGACGAGAGCCAAGTCCGGCCGCATGGATGAACCGAGAGGGGAGGACATTGAAGTTGATTGAACAATTAGAACAAGTAACGCAGAGAGGAGATCCGAGAGGGGGCAACGGGGCGAGGACAAGCCGGATTCCGACTCATCATCTCATTTGAAGCCCATAATCAAAGACGCGGCTGCAAGTGCCATCTGTTTTGGACGAGAGATGTAACGGCGCCATCAACCGCGGTCCGTAAGCGACAATACGCAGCAGAGAGAGCTCCGAGCATTACTTCAATCTACTCCTGTACTCCGGTACTACCTACATACGCAGTACAACAAAAGAAACATGTTGCGCGCGTGTTTCGTGGGCTTGGTGTTCCTGACTTTTCTTCAAAAACTAAAACTCGGAACTTGGAAAGAGCAAGATGAAATGGACCTCTTAACCTACCTTACGGATACATCGTACAGATACTTTTGGTCTCAGAAGTCTCGTGGCTGGCCCGTTGGCCGCGTCGTGCGTGCCTGGCTAATTTACGCCCATGTCATCCGGCGTCGCCTGGCCCTGGTGCTTCGTCTCCTCCCATCTGGATTGATTTGATTACTGGGTTCGCTTCCCAATCATAGCCATGATCGCTACCTACGGATCCCCTCAAGGACGTTGACCAATACGTATCCCATCCCACCCCAATCTAGCTAATCTCATTCAACTGACCAGGGACCCGGCCTTTCCCACCTCAATTCATGATCATGATCCCATCACAACACTGCATCCCGCAGCTTCCTGCCCGTGGCTTACAACAAGCACACCCAGCAACACACTAATAATACACTTCACAAGTTCGCCTCACGGCATTCGTACACGTATGTGTACACTCATCCATCTGCCCTGCACATGCATCTAGCACGTTGGCCGTCTACTGCACGACAATGATTAGCTTCTGATGGCTCGTCTCGTCGCATTCGCCAAGTCGAATCCTACGCAATACACACGGCAAGCCGTCATGGACCACCATCTTTTCTCTCTGTCTCCATCGACCATCCAGACTGTTCCTCGCGGCTTCCCGCTGCTGCATCCGCTGCACTACCACTGTGATGGTCTCGATGCCCACTTTGATGCTCCTCCTCCTCGTCTCTCCGTAGTGAACGGATACCTCCCACCCCCGGCTTCTACCCTACCTACCTTAGTGCTGTTCTTCCCATGCTTCTAACCCTTGCCCGTCCCATTTATTTCCATCCCATCTCAGCCTGTCCCGTGCTCGAATTGACAGAATAGTCTGGCGCCTCGCACCCGGCTTCTTCACTCTGTTTCTTTTTGCCTTGCGCCTTGCCTTGCCTTGTCTTGTCTCTCTCGACTCGCCTCGTCTTCTCACGGCTTTCTTCTCTCCTTCTCCTCCAGCCCGGTCTTCAGGTGCCGCCATCGTCACGCCCATTGGCCTCGGATGCAGCAGCCGTTCTGTTCAGTCACCCCGTCTTGTTGGGATACACGTCCTACCACCTGCGCAACCGATCCTCGCGCCCATCTATTTTGACTTGCCACTTAGCTGTTGGCAGTTGTACATTTATCCTTACACCCGTCCACCGTCCTTAAACTTGCCTTGTTCCTTTTGTCACTGTCACTCTGTTTGAACCAACCGGTGCGCCTTTACTTTTCTACCCTCGACTTGTTTCCAAAACCTCCCGACAAACTATCGACCGTCCAATACACCTCCCGTCGGGTAAGCCTCCCATATGTCTCAGTCCGTTTGTCGGTGCGGCCGATCGCAGCGGGAGAAGCAGCCTTAGAAGGAAAAGAAGGAGGGAGGTCCGGGACAAGATGCTAACCACAAAATCTCCCCCACCAGAACCGCGAAACAAGCCTTCACGCCTTTCTCGTCCGC